CTGTTCGGATGTGCGCGAGGTCTCTTACCTCATCCAGTAGGTCGAGGTTGGTGCGTAACTCGTCTCCGTTTGTCTGATCATCATATGCTTCTAGTCGTAGTGTAGGTATTTCGATTTCCGCCGGGATTACTACTTCGGTGCCGTAGGTGAGGTTAAAGGGGGTCTCTCCCGTGGCGGTTTTATCCGTAGTTCGATGAGCCCACAGAACACTTGGTAGCTCGTCTGCCCACAACCCTTTAGCTCGGTCTAGTCGTGCTTTCAGTCCGCAGAGGATGACTCTATTCATTACTTCTGTCTGACCGTTTGCCTGCGGATGTGCGACCGATGTGAAGTTCTGACGAATTCCCATATTTTGGCACCATTCTTGGAACTTGATATCCTCGAACTGTTTGCCGTTGTCGGAGATCAGTACCCGAGGTAGCCCGAAGCGACACACTATCTTCTTCCAAAAGAAGTTCTGTATGTTTTGGGCTGTGACTGTTGCCAGAGGAACTTTCTCTGCCACCACTAAGAACTTTCTCCCACCTGTTGCTGGCGGGAATGGCCTCAGGAGGTCGATGCCCCATTGTGCAAAGGGCCATGGACTGGTGAGGTACTTGAGGTCGGCAGCAGGCTGATGGTGGATATTCGCATGCTTTTGACACTTGTCACATTTTCTAACGAGCTCGACGGCTTATGCCTTCATTGTTGGCCAGTAGTATCCTTGTCGAAGTGCCTTTTGGGCGAGGGCTCTACCTCCCAGGTGTCCGCCGCACAGACCTTCATGAGTGTCGCGGAGTACGAGCTCGGCTTCGGCAGGTCGCAAGCAACGCAGGTAGGGGAGCATGTAGGATAGTCGGTACAACCGTTCGTCTATTATGACGTATTTGGCTGCCTAGCGCTGCACCCTCTTGGCTGCATTGCAGTCCGCAGGGAGGGTTCCATCTAGCAAGAAGCTCGCGAGTGGGTCGATCCAGCTCGGCTCTGCTTCAAAGACGGTAGCGACCTCTTCTGCCCCATCGAGAATGTTGGGCTGAGGTAAGTCCTCTATGTACACGGTTCTCATGGCGTTGTGACTCGTGCTGGYTARCCRRGACAGGGCGTCGGCCTCAGTGTTCTCTGACCTCGGGATTTGCCTGATGAAGTGTGACAAGAAGTTGAGCAGAGCCTCCTTTGCTTTTGCCAAGTATGCAATCATAGTGAGCTCGCGTGCTTCGTATTCGCCCGTAACCTGGTTGACCACGAGTTGGGAATCACTGCAGATAACTACGTGCTTTGCTCCTACCTTGAGTGCTAGGTTCAGCCCGGCTATCAGTGCCTCGTACTCCGCCTCGTTGTTGGACGCCGCGAACTCAAAGCGTAGTGTGGATTCCAATTTCGTTCCGCCCGGGCCGCGTAGCACTATTCCAGCCCCGCTGCCCTACTGGTTCGAGGAGCCATCTACGTGAAGGATCTAGGGCTCTTCATCCCAGTTCGCGTTTGGCCTAACCAGGAGAGATGCTACACTGGCTGCTACTTCACGGGGTTCAGACTCTATTGGCTTGGGAGCTCCGGGCTCGCCCGAACTGGGGA